GACGCCGACGGTGCGAACCGCGCCAAGACGAAGGCGTGGGTGCAGCGCGTGAAGGAGGAGATGAAGGCGCTCGGCGGCGCGGAGTCGGCGCACCCGCTCGAGGGCAACATGGACGCCGACCAGGGCGGGCTGGTGCAGCAGGTGTGGTCGTCGAACGAGCTGCGCCTGCGCGAGATCAAGGCGAAGTACGACCCCGACAACTTCTTCAAGTGCAACCGCAACATCAAGCCGACCGCCGCGGCCTACCCGGTGCACAGCTGAGGCAAGCTTGAGCGGCTGCGACGGCGCAAATGTTCCAAACCCGGGTCATCTAGAAAACCCCGGCTCTATGAAATCAACATGGAGAAAAGCATGGCGTACACTACCTTCGGTGCGAGTCCACACCATAGGGGCTATCATAGGCGCACCGATTGCCAACGTCGCATGTAGAGTCATGATTTGCCTCTCCACTAGCCGCGTAGCAGCCTGTGTGTCTGGTTGCGCCCGCGTGCATATGCCCCTCACAATCGCCTCTTCCTATCTCTCTTCGCAGTTTCTCGCCAGTTCTCGCAGAGACCTTGCGCGGTCGTAATCGTGCGATCACCCCCCATGGGTGCCCTTTCTCAGTCATTCTCTAGTGAATGAATTGAAACTCGTCGTCGTCCCCAGTGGATGTGTCCGATTTCCGACGTCCCTGTCAAAATGTGCGTGACGTCCGATCCTTTGTAATCGTCTAGAGACGCTGGATACATGAGCACGGAGCAGGCCGCTCCCGGCCCCACGCTGCGCCCACGGCCGGCGCGGCCGGCGCAGCCGCCCGGGAGCTCAGGCGCTACCGCTCCGCTTGCGCATGGTAGCGGCCTACGGTCCGCATCCTGCCGTCCGGACAACCGAGCCCAACAATCGGGCAAATCGCAACTCTCTTTTTGCGCAACTCGCTCGGCCTCGGGGTTTCTTTAAGCCTTTTAGTTATTGTTGGCAAAACAAGACACAGAGCTCACACAGAATCGCAATTCCTGGGGTCCTTGTGGGTTGTGGCGGGCCACCCTGTCCAGAGAGAGAGGCATTTGCCAGTGGCAGTGCGTGCCAGTCCCGGTGCACGAGGCAAAAGAAAGAAAAAAGCAGGCGCACAGAACCCAAACGAGGGATAGGGGAGGAGGACAGGGTCCCCATCTGCATGAGTATAGTGTCGTGCGAGGGGGTTGTAAAATTCTTTTGATAAAGAAGGAGTGTGAGGGATGTCTGTGAGCTCGAGAGCGATATGCCATGTCCGCCCTGCGTTTGTTTTCATAACATCGAAGGCAAGCACAAAGAAGAAATCCGAGCTGCGTTTTTGGGTATGGCGGCGGCCGCCTCCTCGTCGCCCGCCGCCTCCTCCGACGCCGCCGAGTGCTCGCTGCTCGGAGGGCCCTTCGCCATCTGCGTACAGATAGGCCTCGCCGCCGCAGCGATTGCCACCCTCGTCGTGAAGCGACACACAGAGCGGCCGCGACGGCCGTGGCTGGTGTGGTTCTTCGACGCGAGCAAGCAGGCGCGCTCGCCCTCGCGCTGACCCCGCGCGCTGCCTCGCCACTGCCGCTGCTGCACCGCGCAGGCCTTTGCGGGCTTCTTGCAGCACTGCGTAAACCTCGTCTTTGGCGTCGCCTTTGCGGCGTCGGGCGCCGCCTCAGAGTGCCGGCCCCCCAGCCCTGCCCGTCGTTCCTTGGCCACGGGTGTGGCTGACATGGCCCCGCACGCACGCAGGTGCGCGTGGTACCTCACCAACTTTGTCATCTCGGTCGTGTGTGGCGTGCTGCTGCTCAACCTCGCCATGGCGGGCTACAACCGGTCCGTGCCCTCACACCGGCGAGCACACCGACCAGCAGCACACACCCACCGGCGTGTGCGGCCCGTGGGTGCGACGGAGAAGAGAGGAGGGGCCGTGCGGCCTCGGGCGGCCCCGAAGCGCCGCTCGCGACGCCCGTTTCATTAGCGCACGCGCCTCGCTGGCACACACGCGCTCCTGGCTGCTGCTGGGGCGTGCTGGCTCCCATGCGGCCACCGCACCTGCCGGCTGCACGCCGTTGCGCCCCGCGGCGTCCCGGACCACCCCGTCCAGACCCCACCTCGTCACAGGTGCGTCGACCGGTTTGGCCTGCACCTCCTGCGATCTGGAGAGTACGGTGCGCCCCTTTAGATGGCGGACATGCACAGTGCCTCCTCCCTCACGCATGCCAGACCGCACGGCGGCAGCGCTCTCAGCCAGTGCAGCTCACGCACAACCGCTCGCCGCCGCCCCGGGCAGGCAAGCCGCCGAGCTGGAGGCCGTGGCTGATGCAGATGCTCGTGTGGGGCTTCTTGGCGTCGGTGCGAGGAGAGAGACACCTCCGAGACGCCTCCGAGACACCTCCTAGACACTTCCGAGACACCTCCGAGACGCCTCCTAGACACCTCCTAGACACCTCCGAGACGCTTCCGAGACACCTCCGAGACACTTCCCTGGCGTCGGTGCGAGGAGAGAGACACCTCCAGAGAGCGACACGCGCCCACCTTCGAGACGAGAGTCTCGCAGCCACTGCCAGTAGCGCGATGGGTGCCTCCGCCAGAGCGCTGTGTCGCCCGGCGCACAGAGACCCGGCCCCGCCCCGCCCCCGCCCCCGTCCGCCCCGTCCGCCCCTGCACCGCCCCTGCACCGCCCTCACCGCCACCCATCTCCGCCTGCCGTTCCGCCCGCCGAGCGCCTCCACCGGCCACGTCGCCTGTGCCGCCACCTGCTCCTGGGCACCCTCCCGACCCCGCCCTCCCAACCCCCTCCGCAGGCCGAGAAGGTCGCGACACGCGCTGGTCGTCCTCCTTGCGCCTCCGGCCGAGACGCGCCCCGCGAGGCTCCACCGCCTCTGCACATAGGTCGTGACCGCGGTCATCGTCATCCTGCCGCTGCATTCGGCGCCGGGCCTGCGGCGCGCGCGCTCCGTGAAGAGCCCGCCCCCCCCCTTCACACGTGCCTCTTGTGAACAGAGATTGGATGCCGTCGCGCAGCTAATAGAGGCGCCAGTCCACCACTAC